CTAGTTTACACTCCCACCAACAGTGTAGAAGTGTTCCCTTTTCTCCACACCCTCTCCAGCAGCTGTTATTTTTTGAATTGTTGGTAATTGCCATTCTGACTGGAGTTAGGTGGTATCTCAGTGTGGTTTTGACTTGCATCTCCCTGATAATTAGTGAAGTTGAGCATTTCTTCATATGTCTGTTGGCTACTCGGATGTCTTCCTTTGTGAAGTGTTTGTTCTTGTCTTTTGCCCATTTTATAATGGTATTGTTTGTTTTTTTCTTTTCAGCACGTTTGAGTTCCTTGTAGATCAAAGATGTTAAGCCTTTGTCTGACCTGGTGCTGGCAAATACTTTTTCCCAGTCTGTAGGCTGTCTTCCTGCTCTTGGAGCAGTGAGTCTAGTCAAATCTTCTGATGAGATTCACTTTTAGAGGCAAGAGGGGGTTGAAAGGGTATAGTTTTCTAAGGTGAGATAGTGAGGAATGTTTGTTGATGGGGGTGATCTGGGAGAAAGGGGCACATCATGACAGAAGAGAGAGAGAGAGAGAGAGGAATGGCGGGGCAGTTCTCTGCCTGGTGTCCTGAGCTGATGGGATCTGGTCACCATGGCTGGAGCTCAAGAGGAAGACAAAGTGCATGCATTACAGGCTGCAGTTGGGGTGTCTCATGTACTGGCTGGAGGTACAGTGCCTCTCCCAGGACAGAAGCAAGGCCATCCGCTGAGGATGAGCAGGGTAAAGAGATGGGAATCATCCTCCAAGGGGGTGGGAGTGGGCCTGGGAATACTTGCCCTCTTTTAGCACACACCATGGACTTAGACCAACCCTTCTCTCTGCCTGGAATGCTCTTTGCTAGGCCTTCGCATGATGGGTAACTTCATAACATTCAGGACTTAGCTTAAATGTCACCTCCTCAGAGAGACTCTCCCTGACCTCCAAATCTAAAATAGCCACCCAGTCAGTCACAATCATTTCACCTTATTTGACTTATCCGAATAACATTCATTACTATGAGATTTTTAGCTGGTTAATTTTTTAAAAATTTATTTACATGTTTATTGCTGTATCTCTTACTAGAGATTCTAGACATATGAGGTCCCAGATGGATAAAGAAACCTTCATGAGTTAGCATAAGATGCTTCTTTTTTTAAAGGAAGAAAACCATAAATATGTCATGATGGAATAAAGAAGGACCCCAGTTGAATCAGCCCAAGATTAAATTTGTGTGTGTGTGTGTAGTTGGGTGGAGAGTTGGTGGGTGCATCTTATATCCTTGGGTTCATTAGTAGCCAACTCTAGTCACTAATGTCATGTTCTGTGCTATCCTTGGCACATGTCTAGTCATGTTCTGTGCTATCCTTGGCACACAGAAGGTATCAGAGTCCACAAGGCCACTTAGCCTTTGACTTGAACTTGACACTAGCCTTCCCGTGCTTGCCTTCCTTCCTTGGTCATAGAAAGAAATCAGACATCATCCATGATTATTATGTAATCTGAACCAAATGTGTCAAAAAAGAACCATTAAAATAGGGAAAATGGAGAGGCCAAGCTCTACTCTTTAAGTCTTAAGTAGATGTCTGAGCTGGGTCTAAACACCCTTCTTCTGGCTCTGCCACCAGCTGCAGTCTGCTCCCTAGGGCTGAAGATGTGACGTCTGTCAACCTAGAGAAAGTGCAAAGTTCTCAGACCCCTTTTGTCTTAAGTTGAAGACTTATAGTTATGGTTTCTTTTAAAAAAATCCTAACCCTTCTAGAGAAAGATTCTAATTAGCCAAAACAAGCTAATGAAAATGTTTTTCTTCCCTATGTATTATTTAAAAGCAAAACAAGCAGGCAAACCCACCTTAGCATTCCCAGTTTGAAATGATATGTGAAAATATGTGAATGTTCTGGTACATGTGTTTCTTCTCCAAATCTCTAATGATAGTACTGAGGTGCTGAGGATTGAACCAGTCTATCATTCTCTAAAAAGACAAGCTAGGAAGCTACTGTATATTTATCCAAGAAGCCTAAGACCACTCATTCTCCCACAGTCAGGAAATACTGAAATAGCGAACAAAGATTAAACTTCAGAAAGAAAAGGAACTTTCTATACTCTGTAAATTTGAAGAGCCAAACCCAGATTGATCTAAATTAAGATTTTTAATATATGTTTCAGTCAGTTCCTTCTTTGCTTATAAAAGAAAACAAAAAACAAAAACGAGCCCATGTACATGCCATTAGGGGCCCTATGATTAGTGATGTTTCTTGCTTATTTCTTCAGAAAAGATCAAAGTTACTTGGGACAATACAGGGACTATCATAGACCTGGGGGGAATGAACTGGTTATCTGCACTTTTTTCCTGTTTTACAAAATTCACCGTATTGACCAACCCATAAATTGGGAACCATATAATCTGCGGGTAGATAGGCAGTTTGGACTGCAGTGTTTTCTGTTTCTCATTTATTTAGGCTGGAAGAGAAAAAATGGACTCAGAGGAGGCACTGATCTATGAAGAGGATTTAGATGGAGGAGATGGTGTGGAAGGCGAGTTGGAAGAAAGCACCAAGTTAAAACTGTTCCGCAGGCTTGCCTCTGTTGCGTCCAAGCTTAAGGAGTTCATTGGCAACATGATAACCACTGCTGGGAAAGTTGTTGTGACTATTTTACTGGGCTCCTCAGGTGAGAGTCTCCAATACTAGGCTGCCTATGGCAAAAGATGCAAGTAGAGTTTTGGCAAATAATGAAAGAAATAGAGAAAACAAAAAAGGAAACAACCTATACCATGACACCAAAACTATATATAGTGTGTGTAAAACTGGCCGCACACAAAAAAGTCATTTTTCCTGTTCAGTTCTAGTTTTGATGCTTTTACATGGTTTCTGTTAACCTCTATAAAATAATTCTTTTCCATATCTGCTAAGTGTCCTCATTTTCTATGTTTAGATTAGAATAACAACTATTTATCTTCCTTAGAACCTTGGAATGGCGATCTGCTACAATTAACAATTTGAGTGTACCCATGGTAAGCCATGGGGTGCGTTCTGGAAGTCTGTCTGCTTACATGAGTCAGTAGTAATCTTAATTTAAATCTCCAGGATAGACTATTTTTCTTCCTAACTCAGATTGTAATCTTCCAGCACAGACACTCACTTCCTCTAAATTTTGGCCATGAACTACTTATTCCATAATAATGTTATCTTGATCTTTTTCCTCCTTCCATTCCACTGCTCGCCACTGCTCTGGAGCTGTGACGGGTAGATTAAAGCAACTCAAACTGCAAAGACGAAACAACTATTTTTTTTAATAGAGGAGAAAAAATGAAAATAGAATTTATCAAGAAGTAAAATCCAATATTTTATCAAGGACTCATTTCAAAATGCTCGATAAAATTGTTTAAAAATATCTATAAAGAGTTACCTCAGCCAGGCTCAGTGGCTCAGCCTGTCATCCCAGCACTTTGGGAGGCTGAAGTGAAAGGATTGCCTGAGCCTGCGGGTTCAAGACCAGTCTGGGCAACTTGGTGAGACCTTGTCTCTGCAATAAGTAAAAATTATCCAGGCGTGGTACCACATGCCTGTAGTTCTGGCTACTTGGAAGGCTGAGATGGTAGGATCTCTGGAGCCCAGCAGGTTGACGCTGCGGTGGTTGTGAGCATGCCACTGCACTCCAGTCTGGGTGACAGAGTGAGACTCCAGCTCAAAGAACAAACAAACAAAAAACAAGAGTTATCTCATTTTGGTGATAGTGAAAACAAAACTTTGTCCGGTAGTTTGTGTAAAACTTTGTGACAAAGTTTTAGTGAGAATTTAACTGCCACTAGATGTACTATTATTATGAATCTTAGTGAACTTAAAAAAAGTAAATAATTATAAATAAAATAGTGTAAAGGAAAGTTGGAATGAACTTACAGATACATGTATTCCTGAAAATTTGGGGAGAAAGTAGAAAGATGAAAGCAGACAAGTAAATATGCAAATATTACTGATATAAAAAGTAGATGTTTACTCTGCTCTAATGCCATGGGTAGATTTTCTTCATCATCTGGTAATTCCCTGTATTTACAGAATTATCACTTCATGTATGACTCTTTTCATAAATACAGCATTAATTATGGTTACATAAATCAAATGCGATTACTATTTTTAAAAACACATGAAAGAAATTCACGATTCTTAATAGTTGCATTTCCTGAGTGGTAAGTGAATTTCCAGTTCTAGTCCACTTTTCATGATTGCATTTCTTCTTCCTTAGGTATGATGTTGCCATCTTTGACGTCATCTGTGTATTTCTTTGTGTTTTTGGGTCTGTGCACCTGGTGGTCCTGGTGCCGGACATTCGACCCATTGCTGTTCAGCTGTCTCTGTGTTCTGCTGGCTATTTTCACTGCTGGACACTTGATTGGACTTTATTTATACCAGTTCCAGTTTTTTCAAGAAGCAGTTCCACCCAATGACTACTATGCAAGGTAAGAGAAATATTTAAGAAGTTGTTCCCCCCATCCCTTTGGGAATTTGCAGGGATTCTTCTTGATGGCAGGTGATTGACTGTTGAGCAAAGATGTGGTGGGGAGAGAAGGCAGTCTAGTGCTTGAATTGTGTAGGATGACACAGTCTACAAGGAAGAAGAGGGTCTCCTCAGATGGAAATGCTGCCGGGATACAGAAGGAGGAGCTGCTTGTGTGGAGCAAGTAGCAAAGAGATCCCGGAAGAACATTTTACCCCAAAGAATAACAAAGATGGGCCACAGCACTCAGCTAGACAGAGCACTCATAGGTCCAGTATATGGCAACAAATTGCGCACCAAAAATATTAACTAAGTGTGAAAATTTAAAAATAAAAATACATGAGTCAATGGTGAGAAAGAGAAAGAGAGAAATACCTAATAACTTGCTTCAACTGAAGATAACTCTTACACTAACCCTTTACTGTGAAAATGGAAACGAAATGTAAAGAATCCAGCATTTACTACAACTTTTTAGAAGGATGCCAGGCCATTCTCAGTGAATGAGGGGAAATGCCCCTTTATAAGATAATACCAGCTAGTAAAAGGGAAAGGAATCATAGAATTAGAAAACTGCTATTCCTCAACCCTTAAGGAAATGTTTGGTTATGGCCACAACTTGAAAGGGTATTATGATGTTTCACACAGTGATGAAGTATAACCTCCCTGATCGTTTGCTAATTGAAAAGGAAAAGGCATACAATTTACAAGGTGGTGGACATCTTAACCAATGGATTGAAATTAGCATTACCAAAAATGGGATCGCTTGACAGTTTACACTTCTCATTGATAAGCAATGAGTGATATATACAGCATTGTGTTAAGGCCTTTGACTTCATCTCCAATTTATAGAAAATATAAAGGATAGGAAATAATTTAAATGGCTCCACAAGAAAAACAATCAGAAAAATTCAGAATGTGAATGCTACAAGGCAAATAATCTGGTCTCAACAAATCAGCATCATAACAAAAAAGTTTACATAGGGAGAGTAGAGACTGGAACTATTTAGAGGAGAACTAAAGATACCCACCAACATGGGTAAAGATCCTGGTTCAAATCTCTACCACATATTTTAGGGTTAAATGGAGTAAATGTCTTGTTCATTGGATATTAACTGATAGCATAGAATTATTGCCAATTTCATGTGTGCCCCCTGAATAAAAAAAATATTGCTAATTTCTTAAGTATATGATGATATTGTGGCTAGACAGAAATATGTCACTATTTTAGGAGTTACATGGTGAATTATTTAGGGATGAAGTGCCATGATGTTTGCAACTTTAAAAAGGTTTAGCAACAAATTCATTAGGTAGGTAGGCAGGTGGGTAGATAGATACATACATACATACATAAGGATAAATACACACAAACTCAGAGATAAGAGAAATAACATTATCTGAACTAGGTGATCAGCATAGGATTATCCATTGTCCTAGTTGAACCTTTTTTTTTTGAGGCAGTAGTAGTCTAAGGAAAAGTCTTAATGGAGAGTTACAGGAAAAAAGAGGGCACACAGAAAAAAAGAGGGCAAACAGAAATGGTAGGCGAGGATGGGAGTGTGAGGTGAAGATGACTCCAGAACATCTCTTCTGTGGCACTTCATGTCTTCTTGTTGAGAATGTGAATAATATTGCTGTGCCAGCAATGTAGGTCTGCATCCTCCTTTCAAGATATCCCCATGTGGCTTTCATGCGATAGTAAGTATGAAGATAGAATGTGTGGGAGGACCCAGTGGCCATGCTTTGATTCATGCATTCTTGTGTAAAATTTGGCCATAATAACAGCTTGTGGTTGTGACTAGGCAGCACACACACACACGCTGGTCATTCAAATCCTAGGACCACTTAAATTCAGTTAAAGTAAAAGTTGGTGCAAACACATACACCCACCCGACCTCATTCTAATCCCTATTGACTCAACTGATTGTATTAACCTGGAAATTCAAGTGTAATGCTGTCTAATAAGAGAAATGTATAGACACATTAAAACCGGGGAGCCTCTTTAATGGTGCATATCCACATAATATTTACTTTATGCAGCAGTGAATAAATGCTAAATTTCAGTACAGACATTAGTTCTAGACTAAATGAATTTCTTAGCGTCTTTGTATATATATACATACATATTTAGAGATGGGGTACATGTGAGGATTTGCTACTTCTTTTAAACATTTAATTTTTAGTTTATTGAACACATAGAGAAAAAATGTTTCGTACTGTTGAAAGGGCTGACTTTTAGGGGTTGACTTAATTGGAAATGTAAATATTCTTTAGGGCAGTAGCCTTTTTTTTCTCTCTGTTAGTTTAAGGATCTTTTCTGCCATCTAGAGGCTGGCATCAGGAAATACAAAGAATATTTATCACTGAAAACATGTGTAGCTCAGGCAAGCATTCTCTAAAGGATCAGTTAGTAAATATTTTAGACTTTGTAGGCCATACGGACCCTGTCTCAATTCTTTCAAGAAGTCATCATAATGCAAAAGTATCCAAAAGAAAATGTTAAAAAAAAAACAAAACATGAGTATGGCTATGATCCAGTAAAACTATGTTTATGGACACTGAAATTTGAATTTTATATTCTTTTTACATTTCATCAACTATTATTTCTCTTTTGATTTCTTCCAATCATTTATTTTTTAAAAAATGTTAATCAGCCGGGCGTGGTAGCGCATGCCTGTAATTCCGGCTACTTGGAAGGCTGAGGCGGAAGGATCGCCAGAGTCCAGCAGGTCGAGGCTGCGGTGGCCGGGAGCGGCCACTGCACTCCAGTCTGGGCGACAGAGTGAGACTCCAACTCAAAAAACAAAAAAAAAATGTTTATGTCAGAAAAAAATTAATTCATTCACTAAAAGGGTATTTTTTTTTAGCCAAAGATTATTGGGCATTTTCTAGTCTTATTTTCATTAGCAATAGTTTAAAAGCAACAGTTGCACAATGAAATCTGTTTGGGACAGAGTTTTCAAATGCTAGATAGTCTTCTAATCATTTAAAAAGGAAAAATCATTATTAGCTCATAAGCTGTACCAATATTGGTATAATATGGTTGCCACCCTGTGATATAAATAATAGCAGTTCTATTAGTGTAATAACTAGTCTCTGTTTTTCATTTGAATTGTCACAAATTTAAACTTATAATTATAATTTATTACAGACTTTTGTAGATAATCCCTTTAGCAGTTTTAAGGAATCCCTTGGCGGGGCTTGGTGGCTCAGCCTGTAATCCCAGCACTTTGGGAGGCCGAGGCGAGTGGATTGCCTGAGTCTGCGGGTTTGAGACCAGCCTGGGCAACTTGGCGATACCTCGTCTCTACAATAAAATAAAAAACAGCCAGGCATGGTAGCATGCGTCTGTAGTTCTGGCTACTTGGAAGGCTGAGGTGGGAGGATCGCTGGAGCCCAGAAAGTTGACACTGGGGTGACCGTGAGCTTAAGTGCCACTGCATCCCAGCCTGGGCGAAGGAGTGAGACTCCAACTCAAAAAAAAAAAAAAAAAAATCCCTTTAACAGTTTGAAAGAATATTGAATGTTTAAGCTAAAAAATGAAATGCATATATTTTCTTGTAGTTTTAAAAATTAATTTGGTGATAATAGGACATTGCATTTTATTCTCTTAAAGCTTGTACATTAACATCTTTAAAACAATAACTTTTTCCTAAGGTATAGTTTCAATGCACTGTTATTAACCTCAAACTTGAGTTGGAAGACAACACACTGGAGACTATTTAAAAAAAAGAAAAGAGCAAAGAGAGAAAAATTATCTTGCATAGTGTTTGTCACAAATTTCATAACCACGGAGACTCCAGCCCTTATATTCAGCTTCCGGATAAAGCTGCCCTTAAAACAGTCCAAGCAATTTTTATCTTCTCATAAGCTTTCAAATGGGCTCTCTGGTGAGAATTAACCTTATTTTTAGAAACACTGAATTGATTTTTTTTTTTGCCATTAGTATAATAAATGTTTGTTTGTGATTACTTGGAAAAATAAAGAATAAAGAAAAATACTTTTAAGGACATAATCCTAACTCCCAGAAATAAATACTATTGCTTTTTGTGGGCCTATATTTTTTTCATTATCTTTCCTATGCATATAAAACATAGGCTTTTTTAAAGCAAATTTTGAATCATATTGCACATACTGCTTTACAACTTGCTTTACTTACTTAAGCTATGTATTTTCCTATGTTTAAAAAAATGTTCTTCTAAAATGTTATTTCCATAGGCTGCAAAGTGATTATGTAGCTGTGTTAGAACTTAGTCAATCCCTGAGTTTTGGCTGTGTAGGTTTTTCTCATTTTTGTTCTCATGACTAATGCTGTGATGAACCCCCATATGGCTTCCAAATCTAGGTAAAAATCATAAGCATGTTACAACCCAAATTCTCCCAGGTATGTAAGAGTCGCTACTGAGCTGTGTGGTGCTGGCTTCTCTGAAGAATCCAGAGCTATCCAGGTCCTAGGCCAACATTATGTTAATTTTCTGGCTTGTGATGCCCTCACCATGCATATGTTGTAAACTGAAATCCCAGGCCTATGTGTGGCACAGACCAGGGGGTTCATTTTTCTCTAGGGTGATCTTTTCTTTTATTCAGTGCCCCCAAGAGATCATCATCTGCTTCCTTCCAGCTTTATCCAGTGGTAAAATTTTTATCCATGAGAGAGATAGAATTAATTATTCCCTTATATCTGTGCCCACAGGAGTGGTATGATCATATTTTCTAAAATGAAATTCAGGACTCCTTATTTGACAATAATGAGTGTACTTATGGACACTGTGTCTGAAATCAAGACTTATCTTTTTCCCAAATCTGAAATGATGTAGTCTATTCTAACCATAAAAAAATTAGTGAGCACACTTCAGAAGTTGATCCAGCAAAATAACACCTCAAAACGAATCCCCATAACTAAATTTAAGACCAATACTACACCATTCAAAATAGTCTGTTTGATACAACAGAGCCTTATGATTG